AGAGGAATGTGAACATGCTCTTCCGCAAAGATAGGCACAAGTGGCCAATAAGCACACAAAATGTGCTCAACATCACCTGCCATTAAGGACTTGCAAATAAAATCTACACTAAGATGCTGCCTCACACGTTAGGATGGTTTAGTCAAAAAAAAAAAAAAAAAAAAAAGAAAGAGGGGAGGAGAGGAGGGGAGGAGAGGGGAGGAGAGGGGAGGAGAGGGGAGGAGAGGGGAGGGGAAGATTATTGGCAAGGCTTTTGAAAAGCAGGCATCCCTATAGGCTACTGCTGGGACTATGAAATGACGGAGTCACTGTGGGAAGAGGTGGGTTCTCCAATAAACAGCCTGGACCCAACAAGTCTACTCCTAGATATACAATCAAGGCAGGTTCAAACCTCTGTCTACACCAAAGGCTGTACACAATTGTTCATCAAGCACTATTCATAATAGCCAAGAGGTAAAACAACCAAATGTAGGTTGATTAGTGAGCCAACTGTGATACATATATACAAGCTTTATGTACTTGCCTATAAAAGGAATGAAGGGCTGACATATGCCACAATCTGGATGAACTTCAGAAACATTATGATAAGTCAAAAAAACAGATACAAAAGGTCCCACGCTGAATAGGTTCTTCCAGAACAGGCAAACCCACATCACAGGGGCAGATGAGTGGCTCCCAGGGGCAGGGGAGAGGAACAAGGAACAGTTGCTTAATAGGTATGCGGGTTCTGCAGAGAGGCCCTGTCAACTGGAGAAAGTGAGTGTGCTACAACACTGTGACTACAACGAATACTACCAAACTGTACACTCTAGAGGGCCAGATGTAAATTACACACATTACACTTCAATTTACATTAAGGGTGTAAAGAAAATGTATCACGCTGACACAAAGCAAAAACAAGCTGGAGCAGCTCTATTAGTTTAAGATGAACAGATTTTAAAACTAAGAAAATTAAGAGAGATTATATAATGACAAAGGTGTCACTTCTTCAAGAATACAGAACAATCCTTTATATTTTTATGTATGGCTAACAGGGTATTAAAAAATCATAAGCCAAAAACTGATAGAAAAAAAAAACCTGATAGAACAGCAAGGAGACCAATTCAGGCAACCTATTCAGGTCCCCTTCTGTCCCTCTCTCAGACAGAAGCTTTCTTCCCCCCAGTAAATATATTCTGATCTTAAGAAAAACAAAAGAAATAGTGGCTGGGGAGATGGCTCAGTAGAATAAGTGCTTGCCTGGCAAGAGCAAGGGCCTGAGTTCAATCCCTGGTTCTGCCAAAAA